TTTTATATTTTATATTTTATATTTTATATTTTATATTTTATATTTTAAATTTTATATTTTATATTTTATATTTTATATTTTATATTTTATATTTTATATTTTAAATTTTATATTTTATATTTTATATTTTATATTTTATATTTTATATTTTATATTTTAAATTTTATATTTTATATTTTATATTTTATATTCCATATTTTGTGTTTTATACTTCATATACTCATATACTCTCTTTTGTGTGAGAATGTTATTACAAATTGGAGAAGAAGCTTGACTACGTTTAAGATTGTGTGATTCAAATTCTCTCTCATTACGTTAAGCTCTCAGTATTTTTTTTTGTTACTCCTGAAAAGAGTAAAGAAAAGAAAAACCTAGCAATTACCTACTCTTTTTAGGCAATTTTTTTAATCGAGTCTGATGAAAAATTAAATAAATTTACAACCAAATTTTATATATTTTCAGGTGCGGATTCAACATTTTTAACTAAAGAAAGAAAATCATAATCAATCAAGGAACGTGAAGAGCGAAAAAACAAATAGTTAAAGTACTTAATAAAACTGATAAAAATCGTTCAAAAAGATTAAGAACGTGAAAAAAGTGAAGTGAATAAATTAAAAATATTCCCAATATAAATACATACGCATTAACTAAATACAAGCTGACTAAGAATTATCGATAGAAATCGTTGAAATTACTATAAGCAAATAAACATTCATAAACTATTTTAGATGAAATCAAATTTTGTGTGCAGTAAAGTTTCCAAAAAAAGAAACTCGCATCTCCAAGATAAATTGAATTAAAAAAAGAAAAATTATTTGGCTAACTGTGAAAAAAGTTGCACAAAGAATAAAGTCTTTAATGATCAGTAAACAAAAACCGATCTAGATTTAAATAATATATATGTAGATCTGTCCATAAGAAAAAAATAATACCATTTCACGTCTACAAGAATTTTAAGTGTCTAAAAATATTTCAAATAAAATCATAAGTGTATAAAAATAGTAAAAAGTCGTGAAAACGTGAAAATTGTGTAGTGAAAAAATTCAAAAATAAATATAAAATTGAATCAATGAAAAAACAGGAAATCGCAAATTTATGCTGACGGCGTCACATTTGATTAAAATACTATAAAAAATAAAAGTGTTAAGTGTAATAACCCCAACTGGAGTAGCAAAGTTAAAAAAGAAGATATATCACAAAGAATAAATAATAAATTGTTACAAAAATATAGCTATTCATTGAGTGTAAAATCGACTTCATTACGAGTGAAAAAATCTACAAATACAAAACTTTAAGTGAAGAAGAAAATATTTTTCAGTCAAAGTAATCAAATCAAAGAAGAAAAATTAATCACCAAAATTCCAAATAGAACGCAAATCAAAGACTTTACATTACTTTGTCCAACAAAACAAACTTAATAGAAAAATTGAAATCGGCAGTTTTTTCTTTCTAAAAAACAGTGAATCCATTAAAACTTCGTTGCTGGAAATTAAAAAGCTGGAAGAAAAGGTGAGTTGGC